AAAGAGTGGATCCTCTTGCTGTGACCTCATTTCACTTTCCTTTACATGCTCCTTGTCTGTGGTATTTCAGAGTCCCCTTACTCCATGGTCTGAGCAAGTGGGGAAGATGAGAGTGTATGTTTGCAATGTTGGGAAGAGGCACTTTCTTCAAGCAGTCACCACCTTGGCTACGTGGACATTAAATGGCCTTCCAGGCCCTAGGTTACTCTCTTAACTTTTCAGGCCAGTGTACAGAGCCAGTTTCTCAAATATTTCTTCTCCCAAAGTCATTCTCCTGGTCCCCCTGAGGTAGACTTAGATCTCAAGGGAACTCCCCACCTTTCTACATTGCAGTGTGGCTTTTCTCCAGTGCACCCTAGCCAATGCCACCCTAACTCTGGGGATGTCTTCTCTATTAAACCTGGTAGTCCAAGGTGTGATATTGGGTGATTCAAGGAGTTCATTTTCTTCCTTAGGAAAAGGAAAACAAAACATTCTGACTACTACCAGATGGCCCCATCACCCTTCAAGTGTTCTGATATGTTCTTGGCCCTTGTCGTCTTTTGCCATAAATCTTGCATATGTTGACCCTCTGCCTTGAAGGCAGTTTTTCTGCTCTTGGCTCAGTTTGATGCTGCTCATCCTTTCAGTCTCATTTCAAGTATTCTTTGTCCAAAAAAGCTTTCCCAACCTCCTTAAGTGGTTTAGTCATCCCTTCATAAAGCCTTTAAAAAATCATCTATTGGGTCATCAGAAAAGTCATGACCTTTTTCTATGCAAAAATGTGTCATGACTTTTCCTATGACCCAATACATTTAGAAATATTTAGGAGAGCTTATGGGTTTCTAGTTTTTTTTTTTTTTTTCCCCTTTGGGAGATGTTTTTGCTATAGGGCGTGTGCGCTCGCCAGAAAGATAGAGACAGAGAGACAGAAAGCAAGAAATCACCCCCTCGGGGGAAACGGCCATGCCTCAATCCCTTCTCCATTTTCCTCTAAGGATCTTGGGCACGCGTGCACATATGCCCAGCTTGAATTAAAGCCACTGGGTCTGGGACTCGAACCATGGTCAACTACATGGGAGTTCAGCAACATTCCCATTACGTCAACTGCTAGTCCCTGGGTTTCTAGTTCCTTTCCTTTGGGCAGAAGTAAATCAATGACTCTTTGGAAGACTGAAGAGCTCCATTAAAAATTAGTTATGTTTATATATTATGTATTTGTATATTCTATGTTACATGCATGTACATATATAATAAAAGTATTTATATTAATGTAAATATATAATGTAATATGCATATAAATATATACTTACACATATACTTTTATATATTATATATATTGTATGTTTAAAATACACACAGAGGCCATATGTATACACATATACATGTATATGTGATTGTATCCCCAACGAGGACCAATCACACCTCAATACTTTTTTTCCCTTTATTTCTCCATCCCACCTGACATGCTTTTCAGGCCACTGGGGCCCATATGTGAACCATAGTCAGCCATCTGAGATCTGGCTTCCTTGGTGCAGCACTTGGCCTCAGTGCCATAGGGATGGGCCAAGATACCCATTGGCATGCTGTAGCGTCAGCCCCAGAACAGTGGAGCCAGGAGCCAGACATTGGGTTTTAGATCTAGTTTGCCATTGACTAGTTGTGCAACTAGGAGTAAATCATTTCCCCTCTCTGGATTTAGTTTCCTAGTCTCTCACACGAGGAGGATGCCTAGTTCTGTCCAGACTAAGAATATGTGGAGTATTTTAAAGGAACAGATGTTCGTGAAGCAGTTCTAATAATTCTACTGAGTAAACTGATAGCAATTTTAAGAGGGTAGAATGTGGGTAGGAAAGAAACAATCTGCCCCTTTGTGGGGTTAACTTGCATTACACCAAGGCCTAGAGGAAAAGCTCTGCCGACTAATCAAGTTAGATTAGCCAAACTATTAGGCTGGACTCAGAAACAGAAAATGAGATGATATTGCTCCAGTATGTTTGCAATCCTTTAGTAAGCCCAGTGCTCTTCAGACCAGGCAATTCAGATTTGACGGCAGGCAAGAATTTAAGTAGCCATTTAGTTTAGAGGCAGAAGTAGTACATTTTAAAGCCACTGACTTAAACTAAACTGTGTGATTAAGTCTTAATAATGTAATCTGAATTTTCATTTGGAATCAGAATGTATCAGGAGATAATGTGAAACACGGTATGAAGCAACTTCTTCCACCAGAAGGATTCAGGATTCCCGTAATGGCAAACTAGAATGGGCCTTAAAACGTATTCCATTTTAGAGAGTTGCTGTTCAGTCTACTATGAATGTTATAATGAAGAAAACTCCGAATTATACACCTTACAAAATACCAGAAAACTCAAATAACCAGATTTCCCCTGTCTTTTATTTACTTACTGTCAACCTTAATCATCACTGACAAGGGAACAATTTGATTCCTAAAAATAAGTTTAGTGTTGATGTTAAGTATACAATTTAGAGTTCCAGTCCTTTAGAAAATTATAGACATGATCAAGGTAAAGTTTAGTAAATATTGTATAGTTTTACACTTTAGCAAGTGTGCTTGAGATAGTCTGACCTAAAAATACAGCTGGTTATGAAAGTACCCTTAGTAATAGTAAGACGATAAAGTCATTTTCTTTTTTTAAAAAAAAAAAAAAAAAAGGAAGGCACCACTTCCACTTGAACTTCAGGGCATGTCAGACTGATCTTTTAAGGAACAAGTTACAGTGTGGTTTTGATTACATAGACAAACTGAACTTGGTGAAAAGGGGGCTATAGAAAAAGATCTATTTGGTTGTTAGAAGAGTCATGATGTGTATTTTCTGTGTTTTTCTATGCAAAAACGCATCATGACTTTTCCTTGGACAACCCAATATATGTATTCACCCAGCCTGAACTGCAACTACAGGCACTAGCTGGTAACTAGTCATAGCCATTGACATGATTAAAATACAAAATAACTTGGTCACTAGCATTTGCTGATGTGTTGATACAAAGCTGGTTGATCTTTTTAACTCTAGTATCAGTAGTTGGGTAAAATGGTAGTTTGCTGTCTGTGTCCTTCCCTAATCTGTACCCCACCCCTTCTGTTAGGCCATGTTTCAGTGAGTTCCCCCAAGTCATTGCTAGTATGATGAAAGAAAAACTGGTTTATTTTAATAAGGGCAGTAGTAGAGCCCCCTGCTCCCACCCTCACGTAAGAGCAAAGGCTATGGAGTCAGAAAGACCCGGATTCAGGTCTCTTCTCCACCATTAATTAACACTTTAATCTTAAGCAAGTTCTGTAACCCCTCTGGGTTTTAGTGAAGTCATCTTTAAAATGGAGATTTTCCTACTTTATAAGCATTTTATGAAGTTTTTGTAAGATTTTAATGAGACAAGTACCTTCTATTCCTGGCATCTAATAGATGTTTGTTGTTGGTATTATCATAATATTTATTATAATATAATATTTGTCATAATACTGTTTTTCTCATAATTCCCCAAATCTTCATATTTTATTTTTTTGTTTGTTGCAAAATACCCTATTTGCAGCCAGACCGACTTTGTAAGCTTTGGCTCTCTGAGTGTTCCTTGTACCTATTAGTACAAGGCATGTCGTATCCAGAGACATAATTGATGACTTTTTGCCACTTGCAATATTTGTAGTCTTCTATTTAGTTGTTTCCTGATGCTTTTCATGATAAAGAGCAATACGAATATGAAGTATTTTATATATGTGCTTGGAACTGCCTAATACAGACCTGGGTGTCATCATTGACTAAACAGCATGATACTCATAAAAGACTTGTTTGAAAGTTATATCAACAGGAGTGGTAAGTGGAATTAAAAGTGCAATTTATTGAATTTTTAAGATTTTTTTAAAAACATAATAATAGATCCATGTTATTTTTTTTCTTTGATAGATGGGCTTAGGACACGAACAAGGATTTGGAGCCCCCTGTTTGAAATGCAAAGAAAAATGTGAAGGCTTTGAACTGCACTTCTGGAGGTAATGTTTTGAAAACTACAGCCACATTAGTAATTTACACTCTTTGGCAGCACGTCTCAGACAGTGTAGGTCTCTAGCAAGTTCTTCGACGTGGTTGCTAAGTTGCAGGCATGTTGTTTTTCTCTTCTAAGAAATGAATAAAAAGTAAAGCCGTGCTGTCTTTCTATCAAGTTTGGCTGAGTGAATTGGATCATAATAACTATATTTAGAGCGGTCTGATTTATTTGCATGGATTTTAACATTTTTATGCACCAAAGTAAACTAATACTTTAATCCATTTTCCCATAAATTTTTTGAAGTTCTCCCCTTGTATCTTTCTTTTTTTTCTCTTTAAGACAGTGTTGCCTTATCAGGATTCTCCTGTCTCAGCCTCCCAACTGAGACTACTGTCATACACCGCCATCCTGGGCTCTATTTTTAGGCAGGGTCTTGTTATGTTGCCCAAGCCAGCCACTTACTCACAGTCTTCCTGCCTCAGTCTGCCAGATCACTGAGATTATAGGCACATACCACTCTATCAGGCCTTCAGGTTTCTTTCTTTCTTTCTTTCTTTTTTTTTTTTTTACCTCAGGGCATGTGCACTAGCTTGCCGAAGAGAGACAGTGGGAGGGAACATGAAAAATCACCCCTAGGGACATGGCCATGCTGCAGTCCCTTCTCCATTCTCCTGGGATTTAGGGCATACACACACACATGGCAAGTTTGATTTTCAAGCCTCCAGGTCCAGGGTTCGAATCACAGTTGACCTTGTGAGTGTCCAGCACCTTAACCACTAAGCCACCTGCTGACCCAGGCCTTAGGTTTTACTGGAGCTCCAATCTAAGCTTCCCATTTGGTTCCAGCCTGTGGAGCTAGCATCTTAGCAGCACACACACCCCACTGTGGCTGGGTCACAGGACCTCTTATTGTCTCACTGACAACTGAAACTGCACAACTTTATGGATGGGATCAGAGAGGGGCAGTGTGTAAAATGAATGATTTTGCACATCTCATTTCTGTATTTGCAGTAAACAATAAATATAAATGCTAAATGGAACATTCATATCCTTCCTTAAGGAAATGGTGTTGAATTTAGATCTCTTCAGAATTTTTGGCTAACATTTACTACTAAAACCTTTTTTTTTTCTTTTTTTGAGGTTTTTGCTATAGGGCACATGCACTCACCAGAAAGACAGAGAGACAGAAAGCAAGAAATCACCCCTTAGGGGGGATGGCCATGCTGCAATCCCTTCTCCTCCATTCTTTTGAGGTCTTGGGCATGCACACACACACACCTCGTGTGAGTTTAAACCACTGAGTCTGGGACTTGAACTACAGCCGACTACATGGGAATCCAGCAACGTAGCCATTACCATCTGCTGGTCCTGACTACTGAAAAGCTTTGAGGCACTTGAATATTTTTATAAGAAAAAAATATATTATTGCCAGTTTCTTGGTCTAACTGTACTGCATGTATATGTTAGACAACTGTTAGACAAATTTACCAAAAGGTAAATTTGGTATAGATCTTCTTTATATGATTCTTAAAGTAATATTGAATATCATATGTCTAAAATCATTATGCAAAACTTGCCCTTATGAAATACATAAATGTTCCTAATCAATAACCATCAGTACCATAATGGAAGTTCCTAATTCTACTCAAAGTGAGATCAGAATATTATTGCTAGAACAGAAAGATCAGGATGGTCAGTTTTAAGATGGCAGCACCTGCACTTGGATTTCCATAGGAAGCTTCTTAGAATAAAGTTTTAGGGACCAGTAGTTGGCATAATGGTTACATCACTGGACTCCCACATAGCTGATCATGGTTCAAGTCCCAGACCCAGCAGCTTGAAACTCTCACCAGGTGTGTGTGCATATGTGCCCAAAATCCCAAAAGGAGAATAAAGAGAAAGGATTGTAGCATGGCTATCCACCCAGGGAGGGGGTGATTTCTTCTTTTCTTTTTCTTTTATTTGACAGGTTTTCACTATAGGGCACATGCGCTCTCCAGAAAGACAGAGACAGAGAGACAGAAAGCGAGAAATCACCCCCCGGGGGGATGGCCACACCGCAATCCCCTCTCCTCCATTCTCCTTTCAGGATCTTGGGCATGCACGCACACGCGCCTGGTGTGAGTTTTAAGCCACCGGGTCCGGGACACGAACTGCAGTCAACTATGTGGGAGTCCAGCGACATAGCTATTACACTAACTGCTGGTTCCCGGGAGGTGGTGATTTCTTACTCTCTGTTTCTCTAGCAAGCATTCATACTCTATATCAAAAAATAAAGTGAATTAACAGTTTATCAACTGTTGTAGCTATGTACCATCTATGTTAAAAGAGAATGTCAGTGAATAAAATTTGAGATAATAGGCCATTTATTTATTTGTTTGTTTTAAATTTTTTCCAGAGGACACGTGTGCTTGCCAGCAAGACAGACAGGGGAGGGGGAGAAAGAGAGAGAAACAGATAGAGGGAGAATGAGAAAGCATCCCTTCATGGAGAATGGACAGACTGAAGTCCCTTCTCCATTTCTCCCTTCTTTTGGGATTTTGACATGTACACACATGCACTTCGCATGTTTCTCACACTGCCAGGTCCGGTACTTGAATCCTATATTCTGCTGCGTGGGTCCAGAGCCTTAGAGACCACACTATGGTTTGACCCTTAGGTTTTAAAAGCTAGTTTATTTGATAAGTCTTAAGATATAGACATAATTGTTTTAAATAGTGAGGGCAATAGAAACCACAGACCTCCCAGAACTGATAATACAGTTTTTTTAGTTTTAGGGAGTTAAAATTGTCCAGGGAGCTTTTTAATTACAACATTTAAATAGCTATTCCTTATGGTGCCTTTTCAAGAGACATAGCACGTATGTCATATATCTATTATTTTCCGAAAAGGCAAAGTTACTATACACATAATAGTTTCCATGGATCAGATGTGCACACCACTTTCTTAGGTATTGTGCCTTTCAGTTGACTTTGCAGAAGGCTATCGCGCCCTCTACTGGGCATAGTTTTTATCTTGCAACTTAAGATAATAGTCTTTACAGTTTAGCTATGCAGTTGCCCAAAACTGCTAATAAGATTTTTAAAGTTTATTTTTAAGAGATATTGCCTTTTCTCTAAAACAGAAGGTAGGTTTATAGTAATTTTTGTTTCTTCTGTATTATCTTCCTATTGCAGATCACTGCTATAACCTGATCCTTTTGGATAAAAATGTAACAGACAAAAGCACATTTCAAAGGCATGAAAATCACCTTATTATTTTAGTCTTATAATATGGAATCATTTAACCAACTGGAAATAGTCTGAGGACCTAAGAACCATAAAAACCTAGGTCTTTGGATACAGCCTTAAATGTGACATAGTCTTAATTGTGATATAGTCTATGTAGATGGTATATCTTAGTAGTTATGTCATGAACCCGAACATACTTCTCCCTTAGAATTCTTGATAATTTGTGTGGCCTTTCCATGGTGTGTGTGTGTGTGTGTGTGTGTAAAGAGAGGGAGAGGGAGCACACACTCTCCTCTGTTCTTTCAAGGCCACCAATCCCATCATATTGACCTTATCACCTCATTCAACTTTAGTTATACCCTAAAAGCCCAAATACAATCAGACTGGGGATTGGAGCTTCAGAATGTAAAATTGGGGGAGATACAATTCATTTAGAAGCCTTCCCTCTTCATCTGTCCATACCCTACCAAGTTAACTCAGGGATCATTTTTTCACTTAGCAGGTGGTACACTTGTAGGAAACCAGAAGTAAACACCCAGACCTCAATATTCTTCCTTACTTTGATGTGCTGGTGCTTCCCATTGTCTCATTGCTGGAAACAAAGGGGGGCAACGTGCAATACTTATAGGTCAGCCCCCTGGGCCACAGTGCAGAATACGGAAGGGCGGAGAGAGGATCAAGAAAAGTAAAGGATGATGCCTGTTTAAGGCATGTCACAATAGTGGAAAAAGCAAAATGAATTCTTAGACTTACGTAAGTTTAGAATAGAATTTGTAACTTAGTCAGACTTCATTTTACACTTCAAAAAACTCCAACCCTAGGAAGTTAAAATTATTTATTCAAGCTATAAGTTATTAATAAGAAATATAATTTATAAGAGATTCTTGTGTATCACTTGTAATAGTTTCTTTTTGCTATAGAATAAATTACTACAAATTCAGCAAGTTAGAACATCTATTTCAGGTTACATCCCTAACTTGAAAATCTAAAATGCAAAATACTCCAAAATGCAAAACTTTCCAATTGCCAGTATGATGCCACAAGTAGAAAATTCCACACCTGATCTCATGTGACAAGTAAGCTAAAACACTGCAGTACAAAAACATTGTATAAAATTATCTTCAGGCTATGTGTATAAAGAATATATGAAGCATAAATACATTTTATGTGTATACCTGAGTTCTAACCCCAAGATATCTTATTATGTGTATGCAAATATTAAAAAAAAAAACAGAAATTCAAAATCCAAAATACTTTTGGTTCTTAGCATTTTAGGTAAGGGATCTTCAACCTGTAATTAACTCAACATCCATTTATTCGTTAGATCAGTAGTTACGTGAAGGTGAGATACTTAGTGGAATCACTACTTAGGGTCTTAAAAGGCTAAAATGAAGGCATGGCCAGGCAAGGCTCTTACCTGAAAGCTCTGGGAAAGAATCTGCCTCCAAGCTTATCTTTGTTGTTGGGAGGACTGTAGATGGAGGACTGGGGTCCTTGTTTCTTTGGAGCTGGGACCATGCTCAACTTCTAGAAATCACTGCTTTTCTTTGACTGCCCCTCCTGCTTCCAAGCCAACAGCAGTGCTGACAATTCTTTCCATACCTCAAATCTGTCTAACTTCCCCTTTTTCTGCCAGCCAGGAAAAAAAAAAAAAAAAAAAAACCTTGGTTTTTAAAGGCTCCTGTGATTAGATTAGGCTCACCTGGATCACCTCCCATTTGCTATACAAAGAAGCATGATCCCGGGAGTAACCAGGAGGTGGAGGTCATAGGGG